CTTCAGTATATTGTAAGTTTATCTTCGTTTTTGGGTCATCTACTCCCTGAGCTTTAGAAACAAAAACTGTACTTAAAAGCGGTTTATGGACAAAAACTTGGTGCCGTAAGTTAAAATTTGAAAATTGGGCATAAACGCTCCATAATCAATGAATCCGGAGATAGTGAACATGCAAAATTTGAATCTCGCCGGTCCATGCCTTTGTATAAGGTGTTGTGGACGGAACCCTATTTGCAGTAGAATTTTGACGAGAAGAGAACCAAACCACTCGTCTTCACATCCGGACGCGATGTGCAGCCCACTATGCCGCCGGTTTTTGCGCCCAAGGAACAGCCTAAGAGCACTTCTACTGTGCATCTGCCTTTCAGGGAAGCGTACACCTTCCTCATTCTTGCCCACCTCTATTAAGCAATATACAGGCCTTTGACAGTTTTTCGAAGTGTTCGACGATACAGGGCAGAGAAGAGGGGAGGGACGAAGGAGGGGACATGGTAATAGATGCAGGACACAGCTATCTATATGTTGTGGCAAAAGAAATTTAGTTGTAACATGCGTGATAATAACTCGATAGATTTTTAGCTAGGACGAGAATTATAACAAAAGAAATTTTTTCTCAGTTGCTTTTTGTCGTGTGAAATCCACTTTGTTTTTCAAAATAAAACAGCAAGATATTTTGAGGATGAAATATCGCGAAACATATTTTTAAGCGAAATCGTAAGGGAATTAAATTCAACAGGACATCCATTCTCCGCCAAAAGTATGTGGATCTCAAACATGGCTCCACTGGGACAAATCAGCTTTTTTTTGATCAAAATGACGCCATTTGGCTTTGAAATCTCGCGAAATGGCCACCATTTTCATGAATTTAGTTTGATGCATGTACAGAATAGTCTATGCAATATTTTTAAAGAAACGTCACAGCTTTTGGAGAATTTTAGCATGACTTTGAGCTAGATGCCGAAGCCGAAAACGGAATGAGACACTGAACATCACATTAGTTCGTTTTTAACTCATCCCGAAGTGTGATGCTCCAACGCCTGTTACGGTGGACCGGATGAATTTTGTATGGATATTATAAGATTAAAGAACTTTGCAAGTTTTTGCAGCTAAGCCATCGGAAGCGGAGGCCAGAATTTGAGAATGCTGAAGAATTTTTTGCATCTGATCCCATCAAAATTGATGGACCACCGCCACCCGGAACTGGTGTCAAAGGAGGTTGGTGCTTTGCCTATTTTTACATCAGCATTACTATTGAACATACAGTATTTTTTAAATTAACGCTTCGATGTTTGCCTTCAGGCTGCAAAGTATCATTCTGTTATGATGCTTATAAATACTCTTCCAAAATTTAAAAATTTTTGAAATTTCTAATTTTTAAAAATTTAGAAATGTTCAAAAATTTAAAAAAAACTGATTGGTCAAGAAATGACTGTCACTGTCTGCAATTCTTCATAATGGCTCGTAGAATATATGACTCTGTGCAATGAATTGTCAGATACCATAATGATATGATATTATTTTAGGTCAAACGGTAGAGGATTTAGAAGAAATGATGGTCAAGAATTCATCAATGCTGAAGCCACCAAAGAAATCACAAAAGACTATCTAATGGTGGTGCTGTTTTTATGCAAATTTTGCTACTATCAGCTCTCACTGATAACAGTCTTTCCAAGGGTCGTGCTTGATAAATTGTAGTTTGATGTCACTTTGATAATAAAATGCTTATGGATTACATAAAAACACTGCTTTTCGTGGCTAAGCTCGGTGTGATGTTGTTTCTTGGAAGCACACGAAGCCTTTTTCGTTGTGGGTTTTAGAAGATTTAGTAGCAAGAAGAAGGTCTTTATATTTTCGTCATCTTCCGTGCACCCATATGACAGGCAGACTTTTTAACAAAGCACTTAAAAATAAAAAAAAATTAAGCAGTGTAACAAAAATTTTTAAAAAATGCAAAAAAATTTCATAAATACAAAAAATTTAGCAGTTAAACCCCTTGAGAATAGCAATCCCTTGCTGAAATGCACCAGAAATTTTTCTAGTCCGCCAAAAACCCTTTATCATACAGGGCAATTCTTTGCTTTTTTTGAGGGGTTCAATCCACCAGTGGGATATTTCAATCTTACTACAATCCATTCATTCCTTTCGATGGTAAATTGGTACTGACGCGTGCTAGGAAGTGGAGCTATGAAAATCAGTCATCGAGAAAGATTTCGCTAAGGTTGATACTACTGACAGTATAATATTAGTCAAACTGCCTCCGAGTGCTTTTGTTTTTCACTCGCGACGAGGAAAAATTTTGCTGACCAGTCTGCCTTACTGGTCACCTGGCGGTCGTGAAATTCCTTGTGCTATATAAATTATTTTCCGCGGATTTAAATTTACCAGTCATTAATAATCCTTTGCCTCATTTCCTCTTTCTTCCTTGTAGTAATCGCCCTCTGTGAAAGCGGAAGCATTCGAGAAGCCCAACTGGTAGCAGTCATCAGCAACAGTCGGATAGCGAAACTACACTTTCATGTGCTTTGTGAAAGTTAATTAAAAGTTGAAAATACAAGTTTAAACACTATCGGTTTTAGTATGATTTTAACCCCTTCACAAATCCTTAGCACTTTTTGCTCAACTGAAAAGTAAAAAGTATGTTTTTTTTT